TTGGCACTGGACTCGAAGATTTGGGGAAAGTAGGTGAAGCTTCTTATTTTATTGATGGGGATACCAAACATGCGTCAATCCACAATCATTACAACACCAGATTGAATCGTTTTCTTCGTTTGAGTCAACCAATTTGATAATCAAATTCACATGCCAATAACTTTGACGATATCATTACATGTGAAACATAAATTTTGACTATCCAAAAACTTCTTTAACTAATTAGTATTCAATTTTGACTATCGCTTCATCACATCGTCAATTTTGATAACCAAATCCACATATCAATCTTTTTCTTTAAATGTATGTATCTGATGTCAACAATCGGAGGTTTAGAGTATGCTGATGTTGTTCTTCATTAAAAGGTTTTGTTTTTCTTGGTGAGCAACGTGGAATTGGGTTCTAATGGTGACAGGATGATGAAGGTGAACGTCAATGGTGATGACGATGCTAGTGTTGATGGGTTTTTGGTGAGGAAAAGACGAAAGGAATCGTGAAAGAGTGTTTTAACCAATTCATGAGTTTTTATCTAGAGAGAGAGAAGGTGGGCCCCTTCTTAATTTATTAATTATTAAAATAAAGATATTAGTATTAGATTAAAAAGAAATGAAACAAAAATGAAAAATAAATAACCAAGGATATTATAGTCATTTCACTGTTCAGGGACCAAAAACGCAACAAAACTAGCTCAAAAGGACAACGAATCCAAAAAAGTTGTGGTTTGGACTAAAACCCAAAAAAATGCATACCACAGGGATTATTTTTGCAGTTTTGTCTTTGGTTTAGTAAAATTTATATGGTGGATATGAAAGTCCACAGCCACAAGAGGTTATGGTCAATATACCACTAGTTTAAGTTTTAACTACTTCTAGCCACAAACAGGTTATGGTCAATATGCCAATATTCTAAGTTTTAACTTACGTCTATTCACAAATAGGTGGTGTATTTTTTAAGTTTTACCATCTCAATTAATTATGACTTCTGTCTCATACATAAAGGGTCTTCTTTAACTTAATTCTGCAATGAAAGTTTTGTTTAAATGTCATGAATAGGGTGCTTTCCTAAAATAACAAATCTTGACAAACTTCTAATGTGATGGTGCGTTTTCACTAGCCTCACCCACATGATTCTTAAGGGTCACACATTTTTTTTAAACAAACGACTCTCATTTACGTTGCAGAAGTATGTATGTTTTTGTTATACTTTCTTTATAAATTTTGTTTCTATTAAACACAAATACTTCTTGTTTTACATATGATAGGGTAAGGATAAAAAAAAGGTGACTCTAGATACTTATGGAAGGGTTTCATCATTATTTTTGTTAATTAATATCGACAATACATTCTAGTTAATATGTTGATTTTGGGCATGTATGTTATAGACAGTCGGGTCCATTGCTTTTTTACCCGGAGAGAGATAAGAATTTTATGTCCTTATATATAAAAACTTCATAAAATAAAAAATGCAGTAAATTTTATAATCAAATTGAAACCTAAAAAAATCCCCTAAAATGATTATGTACAAAAACATTATTTCAAAACATAAAACCCAATAGTTCATAAATCAGTGTATCCTAAAATCCAATAACATAAAATCCGAAGGATGTGCATGATCATGCCTTCTCCTTACCACGATCATCTGAAGTACCTGAAACCATAATTAAAACAATAAGCATGAAGCTTAGTGAGTTCTCCCAAAGTACCAACACACACAACATATATTGGGTCGACATGTAAAAGACTGGATTACCCCAAAGCCCACAATATGAGTCTAGCTTGCCTATCGGGCCCACAACTCATATCTGGTTTGCTCCTGAGTCACAGGGTCTGGCTTGCCCTCGGGGCCTACAGCTTATGTCTGGCTTGCTCCTACGTTTGTTGATTACTGCACCAAGCAGTACAACCTCAACCTGACCATTCTATGTCGACATATACATAACATAATACATATATCCAGCAACAGATAAATGTGTAACCAGTCATCAGACAAACAGGCTGATCTACAGACCACTACTGCATCCTACATCTTATTTACTTGGATACCGATCTAACAGATCACAATAACATATCAACATCCTTTATACCAGGATACACAGTCTAGTGGACCGACATTGGTGCCTTCGACCCACAAGTACAATGAAGAAAAATCACCTCTCGGTCCGAACAAATAGTTGAATAAATCTCTGCTCTGAATACCGGCTCTACCCACCACCTATTATTCAAATCATGGCCCAACTTAACTTAATATCAAAATACCCACCATACCTTTTGGTCAAAATTGGTCAAATCCTCAAAAGTCCAACTTGGGCAACAGTGTTGAGTACGCCCAAAGTACTCAGCTTGTACGCTAATCATATGCAACTTGACCAGAAAACGGACTGGTTGACCTCGAATGCCCAACGCTCCTGGGAACGCCCAACGTTAGCGACTATGTCTTTTCCTTTCCATTAAGAGCTTAATCCTTAAGCTCTTTTGTCCAAAATCTAGATTCAACCCTAAAATAATGCCCTTAACCATAAAGCTTTCAACTTTATGGTCTTGCATGACCATTAAGTACCCAAGCACAAAAACTCTAACTACTTAACCCATTAAGACCTTGTAACTCGTGCATGGTAAAAAACTAACAACCAAGATCACATTTTTATGGTTCCTAATAAGTCCATAACGGATAAAATTTCCAACTTTATCCATTAGAATGGTCCAAACCACCAAGATCTAGTCTTTAAGTCTCAAAGGGACCAAAAGTGCATCTTTTCCAACTTAATACATTAAGTCCAAGTATTCGACCTTTAGATCAGAATCAATATGACATTTAGATGGATAAATTTTCCAACTTTATCCATAACAAGGTCACAAACTTTCAATGTAACACCATGTTTCCAGGTATTTACACTTTTAACCTTGTTGTGATCATTTTTGGCACTTTGGTCCAAACGTCAGGCGTTTGGCATAAAACGTTAGGCGTTCAATGATGGACGCCAGACGTTTGCATGCAGAGACCAAACCCTAATTTTTAGGGTTTGCACCCTATTTAAAGAACATTATCACCTCAAAACCCTTCACCACTCCAGCCTCCATCCCCATTTTGAAAACCCTAGGTGTGTATGAGGGTTTGAATGCTTGTGCATCTTTTTGGTATCATTTTAGTGCTCTTGATAGAGAAGGAAGATCATTGGAGTGTTGGTGTTGCTCTTAAGCTTGTGGATCTGGAATTTTGGCATCTTGGAGCATCATTATGTGCTATAAAGTTCCAAGCTTGATCATCATATCTCTAGATCTTGTTTATGTTAGAAGTTTATGCTTATTAGACCCATTTCCTTAATCGTTTTGGGTAGGAGCTACCTTAGACCAAAGGAATATTCCTTTTGGACGTTTTAGGGTAGATTAAGTGATAAAAGTGTGATCTTGGATCTTCCTTTCACTCCATGTAAGTTTTGAGGTGTCTTAATTGGTTATGGAGTTGGAGTTTTAGCTTTTGGGCTCATTGTAGCCATGCATGTCCATAAAGTTTGCAACTTTATGGGTTTAGATGTTCTATTAGCTATGGATCTGAAGTTTGGACTTGATATCTTAAGCCATTAAGTCATTAGTTTGGAAGTTCGTGAAAAATGAGTGAATTCCAGGCGTTTGCATGTGAACGCGTAGCATTTAGACGTTAGGCATTATAGGAAGAAACGGCAGGCGATCTGTGCAGAAACCCAATGGGTTGATTTTGGGCCTTGGGCCATTAGGGGTCTTGGGCTTAGTCTAGTTGTGCTTGTATAAAAAGGGAAAAATGAAAATTTTCCCTTATCTTGATAAGGAATGGACTAGACCACGGGTTTGGGTTAAACCCTAATTACTTATTAGGATTGTTTTTGGTTTTTCTTTAGCGTGAGGAGTAGAGTTCGCAATGGATCAAAGGTTACTCCAATTGTCATCAGTAGAGGTGAGTTCTCCTCACTATGTTTAGCGGGTTGCATGCACCAATTTCGGCCCATGGTTTGTTACGTTAGGATGCTACATGTCCGCGTTACTCTTGCATATGTATGTGCTTGTATGCTTACTAGGCAGGGCTCGATGGTTATTCTGTATGCCATTTATTGTTATACTAGTATGTTTGTATGCTGGGTGGAGACCGTTATGGGAGTTAAGGCGAGGCCCATTATATTCAGTGGGCGGGGCCCGCTATACGAGTTAGGGTGGGGCCCGTTATACTCAGTGGTTGGGGCTCGATTTGCAAGTTAGGGCGACACGTGTTATACTAAGTGGGCGGGGTTTGTTATACGAGTTAGGGTGGGCCCATTACACTCATCGGGTGGGGACTATTATATGTTTGATATGTGTGGTATGTGAAATGGAATCATGGTAAATTTCCTCATTCAAGAATACGATATACAAGCGCATATATATATATATATATATATATATATATATATATATATATATATATATATATATATATATATATATATACTAACCGTTTACCCGCGCAAAGCGGCGGGCGACAAATAGTTTGTTTCGACAATTAATTTATTTTCGATGGAGAATGATTATTTTCAATTCAATCATTAGTTTGTTTTAGGAAACATGTCATATCAAAAATAAAGAAAATTCATGAAATGATCAAATTATAGGGTGTTGAGTATTTATTTGGATGAAAAAAGATTTGGTCAAAACTTTGGAAGAGAATATTTATAGGAGTTTGTTTAAATTTTAATATTATTTTATTAGTGATTAGTTGTACAATTAGCTTAATGATTTGGACGTCTTAAAAAAATATTATTATTTTATTCAATCTATTTTTAGAAATAGTGGGATTTGTTTTATAAGATAGTATATATATATATATATATATATATATATATATATATATATATATATATATATATATATATATATATATATATATATATATATATATATATATATATATATATATATACACACCATTACCACAGGGACTATACTATAATAAATATACATGAGCTACATATATATAATGGGATATACAAATACATGTTAGCAGTTGAGAGTTGCAGTGACGTTCTTCTCCGCCATTCTAGAGGCAGGAGTACTAGATCCATCGCCGATATCAAATATGATTCTAATTCCACCACTTCCTAAAGCTAAAACATCGTCAATTAAGAAATCGTTTTTAACTCTTGATTTTGCAAATCTTTGATTCTCGTTTCCATTAGCGAGATCAAAGCATCCAACACAATCACGATTTAATTTCTTGCTGCTTAAATAAATGAGATTCTTGCAACCTAAACCACTATAGATGTAAATCTTTTCCCTAACATTTCTCCAAAGTGAAAGTGGATGAGGATGAAGACCAACCTTTGGGATTGTTTTCATGAAGCATCTTCTTCGTGGTAAAGGCTCACATCCTTTCGAAATAAGAAAGACTCCAATCATCAGGGAAAGCTCCGTTAGGTTTGTAATCCATGTATTGCAACAAAAAAATCCCACGATTTGTAATGTGAATGTCCCACAAATGCCACCATTTCTATGATCCGAGTTATTGAATCTTGATTTTTTTTTATTTAAAAAATCACATCATTAAGTATGACTAGCATGTCAACAAACACAAGTGGTTACGTGGCATATTAAATCGGTTGTATTAGGTTAGGAGCAAATGAATAGGTCAAGACGTATTTTATTCATTCATAAAGCACGCAAATAAGTTAAGAGATCGAAAAGGAAAATTCGAAATATATTGTTGGGCTAATCTCACTTTCCCAAATGCATACTAGCAACATTTAATCTTAAGCAACAATTATAAGTTTCACTTTCAATATCAATATAGTCCTGTATAACGATATTATTTTATAATTATATGTTTCGATATTGACAACTCCATGTTATTGTACATTATGATTTCACAACAACTATTTTCCAAGAATCAAAGCATTACAATTTAGTTCACAACTTCCACTATTATTCCCATCTTAAATACATATATCTGAATACTCTAAACTACATTAAAATCTAATCTGCACTAACCAAAATACAATTTCATTGAAATGATTTTACAATTAGGTAAAATCTAATCTGAAACAAATAAACTACAATTTTGTTGGATCACTTTTTTCAATTAACACTACAAGAATAACAACTATTAGCGGCGAAAACCTTCAATTGTGTTGGTTGTCGCCGCTAATACTCTTCAACCCTGATCTATGCGAAAAGCTAAGCTTACACCGTATCATTCGATTTTGTTGCAAATCTAACGACATGGACCCTCGTTGCGTACAATACCAATAGCAGCAACACTAATGGCGGCGACGGTGTCACCGCTAATAGTCTAAATAGGTGTCGCCAAAACTCCCTTTAGGCACGTGTCGCCGCAATTAGTTATCCGTTGTTGCTAATACGCTTGCATCACCACTAAGGGGCGTCGCCACTAAAGGTTTGCACGAATATTACCTCTTCCACTTTGTTCTTTCCTCTTCTGTTATATGTTCCTAAAATGCACTCCACATACTGAAGATTTTGTTTTTCCCCTTCACCTCTTTGATTGAGCCGAAATTTGACTGCCAAAAAAGATCCAATTGTGACTCCCCATTACCGGCAACCTCCAAATCGGCGACCCTCGTATCACCGACGACGTCCCTAAGCTTCTGCAGGTGAGGTTTTCTTCTTCTTTCTTCTCTGTTTTTCCTGCTTTTCTTTTCCTTTCTCTTCTCCGCACTGAAAACTTGAATTTCCATCTTTTCTTTATGCGAATTTTCCAACTTTACTGTCCAGATTTGGAGCCCCCTACTGGAAAATCTTGAAATTTGGAACATGAACAATCTTCTCGACCGGATTGCACGTCGATAGGTTCTTCATCAACATTTTATTTTTAATTTTGTATGTGGAATCTATATTTTGTATATGTATGTATGTATATATGTGTTTTTTAAGTGTGTTATTTATGTGTATAATGTATGCATATATGTGTATGTGTATTTGTATGTGTTTATGATACGTGTTAATTTTACTAGCTTTAATCCTACGAACTTAAACACAAAGACAAACACATGAAAGGCAGTGTACCTATCGATTAGTAGTATAATTCAGGCAGGTATGTAATCGAACTCAGGAAATGGTAAACAATTAAAATTAATACTAATATTATCTAAATAAAACAATATTTAAAATGGGGTTTTCTCTAGTTTTGCAAGAATAGAAACTTAAGAAATTACTAAGCACTTAAACAAAGGACAATTAACAACTAAAAGAGAAACAAAAGACAACTAGATTTAATAAGATAAAAGAGACTTCCATTTAAATTCAATTCCTTATTCTTATGGTTGATTTCGTGGCAAGTGCAATGGATTAGTATATCAATGGTTACTGATTTCTAATATGATTAGGTTAATGTTCATAGGAAATCTGCGAAAAAGTCCCAATATTTTAGGTCAGTTTACGATTTAGTCCCAAATTAAATTTTGTTTACAAAAATGGACAGATTACCGGCTAAAACTTCGGATTAACCCTTCGTGGCCGGTTTCACAGATTTAGCCGGTATCTCGTCTTTTTTCGTTAAGTAATCCAAATTTTGGGGCTTTTTCATTAATTAATCAAAATTTTAGGGCTTTTTCATTATTTATTACCAATAAACCAAAATATTTGGACTTTTCTGAAGATTACCATTAAACTAATATATATTATATGATCTAATTTAATATGTACTATTCCATGTCTTCTTTCTTATGCTCTTCTAGGCTCACCGCTAGGTGGGTGGCTGGAGTATATTTTGATACCGGATCTGGGTGTGTGTGTTTTGTGAGGCTGAAAAGCTTGGGCTGCCACCCTCTACCACCACCGGCCGCCACGGTGTGGCTGTGGGTAATTAGTATGTGTTTTAGTGGTTGCGTGTGTTAATAGGGTAATATTGTAATTTGTAACCAAAGTGAAATAATGAAAAGAAGAACCTAACCACCACCGTAGAGTGGTGGTTGCCGCCTCCTGCTGCTACCGGCTATCGTGTCGGGTGGCGGTGTACTTTGATTGCGTTTGGACCTCGTTGGGGGATGTTTAGACAATGTGGAATCAAGGAAACGCTAATGGGCCTAAAGAAGCCCTAGTGGGCCCAACGGAATCCTAATGGGTCAATAAGGCCAATGTGACCTTAAATCCCAACCAATGGATTAATCGGGTAGTATTGGGTTGGAAAACCTTAATTAGGGTTTGGAAAACCCTAATGGCATAAAACCCTAATTTTGGGATTATAGGCTTGGACATATCGGGACCCACTTTTGGGCTATTAGAAGCGAATTAGGTATTAAGCCCAATCACATCATATGGCTTATTTAGTAAAGTGAGGGACTTAATGGATTAAGTCCTTAATGGGTTAAGTAAGAAACACTTAACCCTAATTATCATTTTATGTGAAACCCTAATCTGACTTGGCCTTCGTGCTGGGCCTTCTTATTGGGCTTTGGCAATTGGATTATTAATAGACCATCCAAGAATGATCATATGGACTAGAATATGTTGATGAGCTTTAGGGTAAGGCCCATATGAGAGGTTAGGCCCAATTTGGAAAATTGGGCCATAGATGGGCCATAGTAGGGCCTTTATGATTATGTGATATTGGGCCATGGGAATTAGATGGGAATAATTGGATGGGCCTTAAGGAAAGACTGTGAAGAGGTCTAGGCCCAATTTGGAAAATTAGGTCATGTGTTGGGCTTTGGCCCATTACTTGACTATTGGGTTTTGTAGTGTGAATTGGACCTTAGGCTTGGAACCCAATTATTAATTGGGTATTGTTTGATGTTGAAAGTTCGGGAAGCTGTCAACTAGCAGCAGGAGTTTTATCCGTGGGACTTCAGCAGTGCCAGGTGAGTTCTCCTCGCTATATCAATAGGGTCTAAGGCACCAATGCCGGCCCTTATCGGATTTGTATTCGAGTTTATTGCATGATATGCTTATTGATTTGCATCCTGGTAATTGGGATGGAGATATGTGTAAGGACATGGTAGTTAGGGTGTTGTCATGTTATTATGATTTGTTACATCGGAATCCTAGTTATAGTATGCTTGTATATTGTTATGATCTGTTAGATCGGTACCCTGGTAGATAGGATGTTGTTATGCTATTATGATTGTTATATCGGAATCCTGGTATATAGGATGATGTTATGTTAGTGACATGGTTAGGTCGGTATCCTAGTTATAGGATGTTACTATGATTGGTGATCTGTTAGACTGGTATGACTGTTATATGTATATATATATATATATATATATATATATATATATATATATATATATGCAAGTGTATGATATTTATGTACACATGCTTGTTTGATTTGGGGTTGGGTTGAGGCGGTCTTGCTTTGTGCTGGAAACCAACATACCCAGGGCGGTCCGGATAAACCGAAGGCCCTGCAAAGGGATTCAGTCAGACTGAAGGCCCGACGAGCGGTCCGGATAGGTTGTAGGCCTGCGAGGCGGTCCAGACGTGTCGAAGGCTCGGAGAGAAGTCCAGATAGACTGAAGGCCTGTGAGGCGGTCCAGTCAGGCTGATGACTCATTATGCGTGTTGTTATGTATTGGTTATATGATATGGTTATGCTTGTTTAGCATTGATATTTTGGGGAAACTCACTAAGCTTCAGGCTTACAGTAACTTCAGGAACTTCTGATGATTGCGGGAAGGCGAATGCGTGATCGTGCACCTCCTCATATTTTCACGATTGATTCTGGGGATACTCTAATGTCTGAACTCTTTTGAAAACAAACTGTAATAACTTAATGGTTTTAAAATGTATTGAAAAGTTTAAATTTGGCTTGAATTTTATGGGTGTTACAAGTTGGTATCAGAGTCTTGGTTTGAGTGAATTGGAGGAACACTCGTGTGAATCCAGTCTCAAATCAAGGAAAGATTTTCAAAATGATTTCTAAATGGTTTTCAAAATAAGTAAAGGAGGATTCCAAGTGTACGATCAGTCGGAGCCAGTAAGTAAACCCCAAAATACCATTATTTGATTATATGATATGTTAGAAAAGCATGCTAGTACTAGGATAGGGATCTTCATGAATTGCATGATAGAATTTCTTGATTACATGATGCCTGCTAGCCTTGGGTTTTCCTTATATGAGATTGACATCATTACTGTAGTTGCTTATGTATGCATCACGGTTGTATATAATTAAGATCTTATAGCCTGAGAATGTTTGATTTGGCCTTATGTTCTGTTCTTATTGATTAGGGCTTAAGGTGGGATTGGATATTCGAAAGTCTATAGGGTCCAGCATTATGTATGGCTAGCATACATTAGTGTTACAGGGCTGGTGGAAATTTCATGGATGGGTAGGTTGTGTGAGGCTGTGAGGCCAGTTACGAGATATTTATCATTCCTATAGGAATGAGGATTGATAGCTTGCCAAGTTTATGTATATTGTTAGGGTGTTGTGGTGATAC